CCAGGCATAGGGATGGTGTTATTATCCATGACAGCATCATCACAGGGATCCACTAGTGCAGTGGTTCCCAAACTTTTTGGCATCACGCCCCCCTTTTTGATTTCTGAAAAACTTTATGGGGGGAAGGCTGGGTTGCCTCGCATGCCCCCCCCAAGGACCACGTCCCCCCCCCCCAGTTTGTGAACCCATGTACTAGTGGAAGAGAGCTTAGGTAGCAGTTGTTACACCACTCTCCTTCCACCATCCCTGCTGAGAGTAGATGGGATGGAGTCAGAGCATGGATGTGATGCTTAGGCTTACTTCAGATTCCAGGTTACAGTGTCAATACCCTGGGTTCCTTGCAGCCAGCGTAACTTGAAGCAGCTCACAGGCTGCTCTGAATTATGCTTAGGAAGTGGCTGGGCACCCAGCGTAGCAGTTGTTACACCACTCTCCTTCCACCATCCCTGCTGAGAGTAGATGGGATGGAGTCAGAGCATGGATGTGATGCTTAGGCTTACTTCAGATTCCAGGTTACAGTGTCAATACCCTGGGTTCCTTGCAGCCAGCGTAACTTGAAGCAGCTCACAGGCTGCTCTGAATTATGCTTAGGAAGTGGCTGGGCACCCAGCCTGCCCAGGTCAGGGAAGTACAGTGTCCTCCTGAGTTGTGCTTTGTACGCCTTCTCTACAGCCAACATTCTAAGCTACTGTTTGTAAAGGGGAGGGGCTAGTTCAGTCCCCATGGCTGTCAACTTCTCTGCAGAGATTATCAACAACTGGTGCAAATTAGTACCAACTGTGACAATAATTTTACTGGGGTAGGCCTTTGTATGCTAGAAATTGGGCTGGGATGGCCATCTCATTTTAGAAAGGCTATCAAATGGTTTTTCAGTACTATAGAATGGTACTGAACTCAAATGAGTAAGCATGGTAGCATTTCGTGAGGCAACAAAATATATTTCTGCAAACACTCAGTTAATGACATCTGGTGGTCTGTCCTGGAGGAACTAGATTGAGACTATCACAGTTGATTTTATCTGTCACTTGTAAGCTTCTCTGAAGTGTCTGTGTAAGCATCCATTCTCGTCTCACCTCTGTACAGGAGTAACTCAGGAGTATCTCTGGCATTGGTTTCACCCATATAAAATCAGTGAAAGAGGAGAATTAGGCCCATTGGTCTCAGTACATTTTTTTACTACTTTAGTTCTAAGTAATGCAGAGGCCATAAGTCTGCTTGTATATATTGAAGCCTCTCTATTCTTCTTTGCTGTCTCTCTTAACACCATAGAGTCTAAAGTTCTCCTCAGATAAATTAAATCTTCATGATGAAGTTTCTAGTCTATTTCATGAGCCTTTTGATCTCCCTTCCTCAGTAGACCAGGGTTTCTGTAGGGCAGGTGCATGAGTTTTTGTTTGCTTGTTCTTCAGCTCCCTTCGTTCCATTAATTTTTGCAAGAGCAGGGAGGAAGACAGGGTTTCCGTTGAAGGGGAAATATAAGAGAAGGGGAACAAAATTAACTTTGTTACAGAAGAAAGCACTGAAGCTAATGATTATTCTGCATGAGTGCTTGAAGAGTTAGATAATTTCCATTAAAAATCTTTTAAATACTTTATTTTTAAGGAGTGTGAGAGCTTGCTAACCTTGTACCAAGTTTAAGACTTCTATCCTATCTACTTCTTTTTCCTGAGGAGTCCTCTGCAGCCCTCCTTCAAATCATTTCCATTTCACCTATTTTACACCCTCCATTACTGAGGCATTTAATTGCAGTCACTACACTCTTGCCAAAGTCAGGACTGAGTTTAAAGTCCATCAGGAGAAGACCATTTGTGATCCTGATAGGAGTACATTAGGCTGTGTCTACACAGCACCCTTAGCTCAAAATAAGCTTATTTCATAATTTGGCACTGTCTATACAGCACCAAATTTTGAAATAACTTGCTATTCTGAAATGCCCCATAATCTTTGTGAAATGAGGGTTACTAGGAAGATGGAATAAGCCCACCCATTATTTCGAAATCTATTTCGAATTAACAGGCTGCTTCAATAGACACGGAATAGCAATTTTGGGATACATCAAGTATCCCAAAATAGCTCCACAGTGAAGACGTACCCTTAGTGTGAAGCAATGTACAAACCTCTCCCACTTTCCAAAGATGAGCATGCTTTTTCTGCAGCGCTCCAACCCTATGCAGAGAGGGAAACTGGGTAGATCTAATTTTGCTGTGCCATCTGTTCCTTTTTTATAGAGTTTGTTGAAGTTTTTCCCTAGTTGATGCTGTCAACAGAATGGCAGGTTGAAACATACCACCATCTATTTTTTTCTCTTAGACTAAGATGAAGCTTTGCCAGCTGCAAGCGTTTTGACGTTTTGTAACGCTTGATGTGTTGGATGATGAGTTTTCAGATTGGTCATAAAATTTTAAATAGAATAAGCCCTGAAATGTTGTCAAAAAAAGATTGTAGCAGGCTGATAGTTAAGAGACAAGGTTTCCTGTTACTTCTTGCTTCTCTTAATAATTTTCTTTTCACTTGCAGAGGGAGGTTGAATTGGCAAAAGCAGCACTGAGCAGAATATAATTAAGACTTCTTTGTTAATTAGACAGGCAAAGGAGATTGGTGATATTTGCATCGGTTGATGGTTTCTTTGTGGTAGGTAGATGAAGTCTGTGGAGTTACTTACCGGATGGCTGATGATGTTGACACATTCACATTGCTTTCCTCTGGTTTGCTGGTTAGGAATGTAGCATAAGAATGTGGCTTCTTCAGACCTCTGTAAAGGACATGCTTCCATTGTACCTTAACTCACAGTCTTTTGAATAACTTCCTTATTGACGTGTGCATGTCTAAATGCAGAGATGTGAGGACTAAATTTCCTTACATGTCTGGAATTCTTGGACGTGTGTTTGCATCTCCCATTGACTGTCCCATCTGTGCTCTATCTGCCCTGCTTTAACTGAATAATTAACAGTAAGTAGCCGACTTTAGGAAGCATATTTTCTTTTAAATTCTAGTGGTGGTTACATTATCATTTCTCTTGAATGATGGTGAGTCATGGATCTGCCTGCCAGCATGACAAAACACAGCATAAGTAATATAATTAGGAAGGGATCTTATCAAAACATTTGGGCATATTGGGCCAAATCCCAAGATGTGCTGAGCACCCATAGGAGTTGTTGGTATCTGTGGGTGCTGAGAGCTCCTCAATACACATTTTAGGTTGTATAGTTTGCATTTTGTTGTTTACTTCTGTTTCCTTTTGATGCAGATAAAGTTTCTGCAAGTTAGAGAGAGCTTGAATATTAAAACCCTTCTCCTCTGTAAATGTAACATTCTCTGAGAGAATTTTCTTTTTTGGGGGGGGGGGGGGGGATATACAGTACACAGCTTTTAGACTTATTGCTGATGTCACTGCTGCCTGTCTGACCTTTGGGACCAGTTCTGATGGCATACAGGAGCACAATTGAAGGATGTTTTGCTGTCATTGCAAAAGGAAGAAATAAGAGGATACAAATTCGAGACCAATTGGTAGGCCATATCCTTCCTTCCCAGTGTTAGCGTGGTATCCAACTTTTAATAGGATGTGTAATGTTCCAGACATGGCTCCTTCCCTGGTAGTGAAGCTTTTTTGTAATCTTTTAAAAATAATGATTTCAAATTTAAATTGTGGCTACACCCTGTGCTGCTAATCAGTCAGGCCATGTTGTGCTAATGGTAAATATTTGAGGTGACATAGTCGTTGTACCAAAATATATCTTTAAACTCAAAAGACAAAACACAGGGGAAGGGTCCGAGGGAAGAGGCAGAATAATCAAGCAAACTCTCTCATAGAATTCATGTTTCTACTTTGTACCTGACTACTCTATTTTTCTTGTCTTTTCTGTATTTTTTTGGTTGGAATTTTGATCCTTGCCTATTTGTTCTGTTAATTTTATCTGTTTCTCATTTAACTTTATATCTTATTTTATTTTTTTCAGGTTTTTTTTCTTCCTTTCTTATTTGCCATGGGCACTCTGCTTAACATTTCTGTACAGCACCAGTTCATGCAATGAGCATTTTTTTTACAGCAGTCAAGGGGACATTCCCTCTCTTCAGCGAGTAATTAACTGAGGCCCTGGTCCTGCAAAGGCATCTAGCCCCACAGTGTGAAGTCCCACCCAAGTCTGGTGTGTTTATAGGGATGATGTAATTGCTTCCTTGCTTTATGCTGGTAACTTATGTTAGTCTAGCTACATCGCGTGGGGCTGTGGATTCTTCACACCCCCGAGCAACAGTTATACTGACCTAACTGCTGGTGTAGACAGTGCCATGTCAAAGGCAGGGCTTCTCCCATCAGTCTCTCAAAGTGGCAAAATTCCTGTGCTGACAGGTAAACCCACCAGTTGGTATAAAAAGAGGGTTTTCTCTCAAGCTCTACTCTGGTGCGGCTGCTCTGTAAGTGGAGACAAGTTTTGAAATGAGCTAGTGTGAGGGCAAGAACCTCATGTCTGCTTTGCATTATCAGTGTGTATTCATTCAGCATTAATGCAAGTGACTTAAATGGTAAGAGAGCCAAAGGCCAAAAGAAGTTACTTATTCCAAGAAGAGATTCTCTTTTTGGCCCATTAAGTAATTTAAAACCAAGGTCTGTCCTAGAACAGCATGTTCTTCCAAAGAGAATGGTTTTGTATATTTAATCACCTTGATTGGTCGTCCCCATCAACTGGCACAGTCTCCTGATGAGGCTACATTAGAAAGCATGCCATTAGCAAGAACGAAGAGGTTTATTTTTGTAGATCAAATGTGCATGTTACTTCAGATGTTCTGTCTTATCCAGCTGTGTTTTTCCAAAGCAGAGCTTCCACTCTGAAGTTTTTCCATTTCTTTTTTGTGCTGTTCTATATAGGGGAAGCTATTGTATTATGCCCTCCCCCCAAATGACCTGAGTACAAGCAGAGAGCATTGACAAATGAAAACAAATTGATTCTTCTCCCTCTCATGTATAAGTCCCTAAATGATGGTTGATTTTCTTTCAAATGCAGATTTTAGCAACGTGCCTGATGTCACCGCTGGCCTGAAGAGGAGCAGTACTGATGGCACTTTGGACCAAGTGCCACACAAGCAGAAGATGGACCCACCTTTCAGGGTAAGAGAATGTCCCAGGTCTAGCAGTAATACACAAACAAAATGGGGTCATTTTAACATGACGCTCTGCAGCCTACAGAAAAGGTTTATATGATTATATGCCAGTTTGTTTATATATTTTTCTTAGTAAATTAATTTATTGCTTCTGATCCTGTAGGACTAATAGTATTAGCTTGAGGCCAGCTTTGACCTGTAACATCTCTGGGGCATAGCTCTTATTCCAATGGTATCGTCATGTGGACAAATGGGAGTAAGTCAGAGTTCACCACATTTATCTTCACATGTCACTTAAAAATGGAGTTTGAGCCTAGGACTCGAGATGATAACTTAGCATTCTAATCGCTGCTCTATTTGTGCCTTTTAAGTTGGTTAGCTGTTCTCTGAATGTCTGTTCTTTGTGCTGTTGTTCCAAATAGTTGTTATAACTTTTTAGGGTTGCGGTGACCACAGCAGCAGTTATTTACTCTACAATGGAGAGGCCATTGGTTCTAAGTGCCTGGATTTTTGTTTTTGTTTTTGATTGCCTGGCCAAAAGGGATACACGAAGTCTGATTTTTAGAAGTCTTGAGCATTCACCATTCTCATGAATGTCAATTGAAATTTTGGGTGCTCAGCACTTCTTTTAAGTTTTTCTTCCTGGGCACTCAAAATCAGGGGCTGCTTTTGAAAATGCTCATCTTGATAGAGATGTTTTTTGTTCTTGTTCCCATGATGAGCTTAAATTTGTGAAACTGGAACCTGTATACCAACTGAGTGATTGGCTGTTTTAGTGCAAGAAGGGACTGTTATGTATTACACAATGCCCTCAAGTTTCCTCTTTTGTGGATTTGGTTGAGTTGAGCTTTGCAGTTCTCTCAGAGGAAGTATGCTCTTTTTATATTGTTGATGAGTGTGGTGTATCTCAAAGCAGGTGCTGGATGATACCATTGTATTGCACTTCTGGAAAATTAAGATGTGATGGTTTTCATAACACTAGAACATGCTGTTTGTGCTAGTTCTACAAAGTACTTAGTAAAAGAGCAAGAAATGAATGAAAATACATTAAAAAAACCTGAGAAGAATACGTACAAGCAGTGGGCTATACTGTACCTCTGGGCTTTAGTTCAGGCTATGGCTAGTGGAGGTGGGCAGACCACAGGAATTCTCCACTGTAGCTTTTGGAACTCCTGTCTTGCCTGTTTCAGCCCAGTGTGTGGAGTAACCTCTATGGGTGCTTCTGCAGCCCGTCCATCGGTGCAGTGGTGTACAGGGAAACCTTGCAGAGCTGAGTTATGTGCTGTGCAGGGATGTGTGGCACATTAGAGCCAGTTTTTCTCCTCAGCTAGGTAGCAGACTGGTCTAATTCCCAAGAAGCAGTCATGGAGCACGGGTCTGATTTTTCCCCTTAAAATACATTGTTGAGTCACTTGGGACAATGTGGAAGTGCTCTGCCCCTGCTAGGCGCTTTGAGATACATTGTGCTTTGGGGATCAAAGCAGCTGCACCATGTATACTGCTTTCTGAATTCAGTGTTCTTGCCCATAAGGGAGAGGCACTTGCCATGGGTGAAGTTGGTCCGATTCAATCTTGTACTCAGGGGAACCGCTTTTAACCCCTTTGTACCCTTCTCTCATTTCTCCTTGCAGTCCCATCTTCTGTAATCTTACCCAGGGGAGTGTGGTAGAGGAGGGAGAACAACAGTTCTGGAATAGTGCAGAGAGATATACAAAGCAGATCACAGGCTGCTTGAAGGACGACATTCTTGTACTTTTGGTTTGTCTTTATAGGGAAATAAGAAACATTTAGTTGCCAACATGAAAGGAACAGACTTGTTTGCCAGAATAATTCCTGATGTCTTTTTTTCAAATACACTAGAAAATGGGAAATAGAGTTCAGTAGGATATTGATACACAGAGAGCACTTCATTTATAGTAGTTATTGGATGGGATAAGCTACTGTGATCCTCTAAATTATGTGCCACTATTAATTCCAAAAGAGCTGGAAGGGATCAGACAGGTTTACTCCCTGATAACTCTCCTTCATAAAAATCTTTGCAGTGTCTACCTGTTATACCAGTTCCTCATGTGTTATTTCCCAGATAATATTGCAGTTGGGGTCTTTGATTGATTGGAATACAGTAACACTAACATTATTTTTAAGAGTTAATGGAGGGTCTCCTAGCTTTCTAAAAGCAGTGGAAAAAATGGCTTAGCAATCAGATGCAGTTTGATTTGATGAACCACAGCTGTAAACGAGTCATTGACAGCCCTACAATTTCTGCAAATGGTTTATAATTGATTGCCTTCTTTTGGTTGGAGGGTGCCTATTACTGTCAGAGCTCTTTTTACGACCCTGTCGATGTTTCTAATACATGTAGGATTCTTAAAACCAGTAAGTTAGAAAGTAGAATCATTGTGCACATTTGGTGACTGGAAACAAAAAGTGGCTTTTGTTTTTAATTTAGGATTGATCACCATATGAACAATAGGCACTACTAATAAAAAGCTAGTACAAGAAAATAGTGCAACCTCCGAAGGTGTAGTATCTGTTTTTGTTTTGATGTTTTTCTTTGCCTTGTATATCTATGTATGCTAATTTGATGCATTTGTATCAAAGTACAGTTGTAAGTATATTTCAGTATTATGTAATGTTTCAGAAGTATGGGGGTGAGAGGAGGCTACATATGCAAGTAGAGCATTGTGAAGAAGACGTTGATGGTGGTAGGTGGTTCAGAACATATCTTGGCAGTTTTGGGATTACTTGATTGGCGGGTGAGAGACAGAGAAAGAGAGAGAGAATGAATGTTCATTTCCTAACAGACAACAGCTGTAGATGTAATCACTTGATTTATGGAAGCAGAATCCTTTGAACTTTGGTTGAATTTTTCCTAAAACTGGTAAGTAAGCAAACAGCAATATGAAAGCTAAATTCCTAATATAAATCTGTATGTTTGCTTATTAGATTTTATATTTATTCTTTTGGGGGTTTTATTTTTCATTGTAGAACCTTTTTCTCGCAATAGCCTAAGGGACAAGAATAATATTTGATGAAGAATGCACTGAAGAGGGAATCCAAATGAATTTCAGAGATGCACACTAATTCGGGGCAAGAAAATCTTTTGTCCTATGTGTACTATATTGACACTAACAATCTTTCATTCATTGTTTTAGTCCAGGAGACAGATGAATGAATGCACTGAAATAGTTTTGTGTCTGTCCATCAATCTAAAAATTCATGCGATAACAGGAAGATAATGAGTTACTTAGTTACAGAAAAGGAAACTTCTTGATATGCTCTAAGAAAATAAATAAAATAAGTAAACATCTGCTCTTGGCAGTTCTGTAGTTTTGGCAGTTTTCCTGTCTCTGAGATTCCTAATTTATACCCTTTTAACTATCCTCCTTTTATTTATTTATTTATTTATTAATTTATTTATTGCAATAAATGTTACACTTTTAACATATTCCCTGTCAATACGTTCTCAAACCGTGTTAAAATATTGTTTATATGGCAGTGGAATGTAACCGTGGCAGTTGTTGTTTCTGCAATATGTAGGCGTATTGTTGACATAAGAATAGAAGACCTTAAAAAATCTGGGAATGCAGCATGATTGCTGATTGTTACATTTAGCTGTTTTTAATCGCTTTGAGATGTAATTCCCTGTGTTTCTGGTGTCCACTGAAATGCTGATATATTAAGAATTGCCAAGGATCAAGCCCTCCATACATTAAAGTAACATAAGCTGCATTTTGTATTCAGTGCCTTTTATGTTTAGTTACTTTTATTTTTATTCTTATGTCATAGTTCTCAAAAATGTGTCCTGTAAGTTATTGTTTATATTCACTGGAAATATAACGGTGCAGTTGCCAGCTTCTTTATACTTACTGTGTATTTTTTGTAGATTCTTTTAATGCATTATGCATTTTATTTTGTTTAAAAAAGACATCATGTTATAAAGAAGGTACCCCTCCTTTAAGGCTTTCTTTAACACTAATGCAATCTGACTTTCATCTCCTCTAAATCTTTTGAGCATCATCAGAGAAAAACAAATTAAATCTGAACAAAAAAAAATGAAAAGAAAAGACCCTGATGTAAGCATTCTCTCTCTCTCGCTGGGATATTAGATATTTGTATGTGTGTTTGTGAAAGTAGGAGAGAGATGTTTTCAGGTCTGATATTTACCAGGCGATAATTAAAAAAGACCAGAGTACAGTAGATTTTAGTCTTCTCTTCATAAAGACATATTAATGAAGCTGGTTTGCTATTTTTGTCCTCGAATTGGTTGCATGTCTCCAGCTTTGCCAAATAGTTGTTAATGCAGTGTGATAACCTGTTGGACTACCTTATATATTATATGTGTTCATTTGAAAAAAAGTCAGTGTGTTCAAAGATGTATGATAAAGTGTTTATAAGAAAAATGGTTATTTTAATATATTTACAAAGCCTATAAAAATAGTGGAATGAATGCAACAATTCAGAATAACATATACCAGCCTTTTCCAAAACTTGTTAAATGAAGTAGAGCATATTTAGGATACTATCTTTTGTGTGCCTAGTTCGCTGAATACAAATAAATGCAGATGGCATTTCACGTTAAGGATTATCAGTACTTTGATGCATCTTTTAAAAGGGCACATCAAAATGAGTTGTCTAAAACAGAAATATGATCAGAGCAGTTATACTACTCCCACTTTCTTTATGAGAAAAACACTACAAATAAATGCTTTCTAGCTTTTGCAAAATGATCCATCTGATGCTGAAATTGTACTTATTTCTTCAGAACCTAATGGATTTATTTATTGGTCGACTTGAAAAAAATGTCAAACACATTAAATTATGGACTGGCAAATGTTTGGAAGGTTTGAAAAAAAAAAAAAGCCTTCCCATTTTGAACTGTTTTTGAAAAAATAGTCATTTACCAAAAATAAGAGAACTTGCTAATTTCATTCCGATGATGAGTAGTAGATATTTTCGTTAACTCTGCCTGTTGATAAGCTTCTGCACATTTGCAAATAGGTTAGG